GCTATAATTCACAATGATTTACACACTTTGCTTACGGCTTGACTCGATTATCCGTCTATCTGCAATTATCTATGCCGTCACTTCTTTCCCGCTTTATTTGCCGGGCTTATATATACAAAAATAGAGGGTGCGTAGAAAACACTAGAATTGCCAGGAACAGACATGATCCTTCTAGAATCTCATGACCTATTACTAGGGTCACGTGACTTCCGCTGTCGTAATACTGCCCCTTCCTTAGTATTGTTCGGGACAAACAATAGCCACTTATATTAAACCAATAGAAAATTAAAAATAACTTAATTAAATGTACAAAATTTACAAACACAAAATTAAGATTCAACAAAGTCTCTTAATTTTACGGGACGTATCTTCTTCCGTACTGGTCTCCGTCTCGTTGGCTTCTGCTTCACGTGGGGTTCATCTGCTCCATCAGGAAATGTTCCATTATCGGTAACAGTCACACCAGTGGTAGTAACTTCATTAACGGTTTCACTGTTTCCCTTCTCTAAACCGGGTAGAGTTTCTTCTTCGACAGTGGCTTTTTCAGGTAACACGTCTTCACTGAGTCATTTGTTCCATTGTTTGCTTCGTTCCAACTGAAATGTCCTGGACCGTGATAACGCCAAAGCCTGTTGGCATGCACCACTTTTGGTTTACCTCGCCGACCACATTTTATCCGGAAAATCAAGTCTGAGAGACGATCCACTATGTCATATGGGCCTTCCCATGGAGAAGACAACTTAGGAGACTTCCCTTTTGTCTTCCTGGGATTATACAACCATACCTTGTCTCCGGGTACAAAGCAGACTTCAGTAGATCTCTTATCATAAGTTATCTTAATCGAATCAGCAGACGTTTTCAAGTTTGAACGCACTTGATGGTGAATATCATCCATCCTTTCCGATAACACTTTCACAAACTCTGACACATTCTCAGGCAATTCTTCGTAAGGTGGGCATTCTGTTATCAGATCCACTGGCAACCGAAGTTGCCTACCAAACATCAACTTTGCTGATCAACAT